AAATGCATCGAATGAATTCCGGAATATCAATTTTTTTCCAGAACAAAGTAAATCGTACCAGGATGAATTCCGGAATGTTAATTTTTTTTTTCGAAAGGAGAAAAATTGCATCAGAATGTGGATTCCGGAATGTTAATGATCATCTAATTTGTTTTCCTCCTTTTTTTTTTATAACAATGAATAAAACTTAGGCGGAAAAATTTCTTACCTTCCTTCCGTAAAACTCTTCTTACTTTTTTGTATTTTATACTTGCCACGTTCCAGGACAATAAATGGACTTAAGGTATGCAATTCGGTGATACAACGCTCTTGCGGTAATAATCGTAGCTTTTTCATCGTTTCATAATATATTTTTAATGCTTTAAAAAAAAAAAAACAACAAAAATTAAATTATATTTGTAAATTTTCAATTAAAAAAAAAAAAAAACTTCCCATTTTCAAATTAAATGGGAGCAAATATTATTAATAATTTTAAAAAACTAAACAATAATAATTATTGTAAATATTAATAAGAAAAGATTTTGATATAATCTTAAATTTGGAATAATTTTTTTAAATGGAAATATTCAATCATTTCGTTGGGTCAAAAAATTATTTCATTTTTTGAGCAAAAAGAATGAAGATATAAATGAAAAAGGATGTTATAAAATTTAAAATAAATGATGAATTATTTAATTATCAGCGTATTATCAATATCTCATCAATATTTATTAGTATTATCAGGATCATTTAATTATCTCATTTAATTATCAGTATTGTCAGCATATTATCAATATCTCATCAGTATTCATTAGTATTATCAGGATCATTTAATTATCTCATTTAATTATCATCATTGTCAGTATATTATCGGTATATCATCAACATTTATCAGTATTATCAGCATTATCAAATTTGTTATCAGTATTTAAATGAAATTATGCTAGAAATAAATTAATTAGCTTAAAACTTAAGCATCTTCTCAATAATTTTATGAAATTTGAAATGAATATACCACCAAATCCACGACATATTGGTGTTTGTGGCTCAATTAATTCGATATCATTATCATACATTGATAAAATACCATCCAAATCACCTTCAGTACAATAATTATCAAGCTAAAATAATGATGTTTAACATTATCTGTGGATAACATTATCATCTAAACAATTATAACAAATAAGAATTACATTTAGTCCATTATGATATGATAACAGATAAAAGTATTCTAGGATTAATAAAATGATTAATCAGTAAATATAAGGCATTGTAAATGTTGTCATCAAAGAGAAAAGGTGTTCACGACGAATAACTATGGCATTACTTTATTAAATTACAAAAGTAATATATGAAATTTGTAAACTCTCACTGATAGTAAAAAATAAAATAAAAAGAAAAACAGAAAAAATACAACACTGAAATGAAATGGAACGACAAAATTGGAATCGAAATTGAAATGTTGCATAATTGGAATTTAAAAAACGAATTAAATCAAATAATACTTACCATTTTAGAATTATCCTGAATAGTTTTATGTGATTGTTCAACGATATATTGTGTCCTTGATAATGAATTCAAAAACAGATGTTGTTGTTTGCCAATATCAATATCAAACCTGGAGAAGGAGCCAGCTTCTCGATCCATGGATATGAGAAATGATAAGATAGGAGCAGTTGTTTGGTTTCCTTTCATAATGGATCAGATTTTTAAATGATTGTTGCAGTATCATCGATAGCTAATGTATCATTTATTTCATTTTCATTATTATAAATCTTTATTTCACTTTTAATTTCAATTGCAACATCAACAGTACTAGTGCTGATGATATTGATGATAATTAATAATTAATAATAAATAATGAATAATAATAGCAATAATAATAATGATGATAATAATAATAACAATAATAATAGTAATAATAATAATAATAACAATAATAATAATAATAATGATGATGATGATAATAATGATAATAATAATAATAATAATAATAATAATTAATAATAATAATAATAATAATAATAATAATAATAATAATAACTAATAATAATAATAATAATAATAATAATAATAATAATAATAATAATAATAATAA